CATATTTAGTTGTAGGTATTTTGCTAAATTTGGCAATAGATGCAGAATATTTTGCTCGCTTGAGGAATAAAAGGGATTCGTCTCTGAATCCCATATAACTTGGTTTCGGTACCGAACATACTCCAAACAAGACATTCGTCATGTCAAGTTTAAAGAACTCGTTCTTGTCCAAACGGACTCTCAGACCAGTTGAGTTGAGAAGAATGAGGCAATGAAGATTAAGCACGCGACAGATTAATAATAATGATTTGTGACGACTTACGTAAGATGCCATTGAGTATTTGGAAGTCTTGATATCGCGCGACTAGAAAAATATAAAGTGACTGTTCAAATATCCATCGATTAAACACCGACTTGCCTCACCTGTGAATAGTACTATCCAAAAGCATATAAGTTTCAAGCTTATTCGCTTTTGGTGGAAGACTAGATTGATATACAATGGTCCTCTTATTCTTAAATATTCCAAAAAGCTAAAGAGTCATCGATTTAAGAAATAGATCCTTGCAGAGGTCTAAGGTCAATTGTGATTATTGTATCATGTGTTGTAAACCGTGTGTGCGTTAAAAGACGTAATGGAATCGTTCGTTACCGTAAAAGTTGACCAAGTCTATTATCTCGTTTCTTGGCTTTTGTTTGGGTCAAATTAAATACAAACCTATTGGCTTTATACTTTATTGAAGCTTGTTGATATCGACAAGAATTAATCAAACAGTATTTTAATCATGTGACTACAGACGTCTCATGGACCGTAAGTATAGGTAGAACTATAAATTCTTCCACTTGCATCGTCACACTAACAATCCTATTTTTATTAATTTTCTTTTTAATCAGTCGTCCGATCTATTAACTTTCTCTCTCTTTTCGTCTACGCTCAGCCGATCATTGCCCTTGTACCGTTCCGACGAGGGAAACAGTTTGATTGCAAGCGATGCTTGCACCTCCATCATTGATTCGTGTGGCGAACGGAGTCGATTAGGCACATTTGAGCAAAAACGCAGTATGATTGAAGAACGTTAAAGTTATCTGGAGAATTTGAGTATTGGGTCACCAACGCACAAGATTACAGCTGAATTAAATTCCAAGAGCCTGTAGAGTTAGCGTGCTAGAAAAAAAAATCTCGCTCGAAAAGGACTTTGATGCCAGTGTAACACATCATATGGCGACAGGGTTTGTATTGCCACGACCGTAATATGATTTGTGTAATATTTCAGAACACGCGGCAAAAATTTTTTACTGGTTAAAATCCGATAAGTCAAGCGTAAACTGATCTCTGATATCAATATGATATCAACGTAACCTTGTAATATAGCAAGTGCACTAACAGCGTTGTTTTATGGAAACTTGCACAATAATCTAGTACAAAAAGTCGTCGACTAGCACTGAAACATTTTTTCGCGGTATGTTATTACTGACAGTTTGTAGCAAATAATTTTGTGAAGAATTCATTCAATTATCTTCTTCTTTCATCTCACATTAGCGATAAACTTCCAAAACGCATATCACAGACTTTACATTATTCAAAAATCTATCCAACATTAGAATCATTTCTTTACATTTACGCCATTGTGAGGATTAGCGTTAAATGATGACATACGTGGGAGGTTCAAAAAGTTCTTGCTGCATGCCTCTCCGATAACCTATGACAACGTAATACCGACCAAATAAACCCTCAGATTCTGATCTTCAAAACGTACCAAATTTGGTTTGTTTTAAATAGATGACTACTGGCTTGAATTTCACGTGAACCAATACCATATTTGTTGAAATGGCAAGACGCGACAGATGTTTGTAAAATAATGCAAAATTAATGAAATCTTGTAGACATAAAGCACTAACATTACACGCAGTTTGACAGCTGGTTAAAACTTTCAATGATGGTAGAGACTGCTTGGAATATGACCCTTGATCCATAAGGCCTTCAGGCAGTTGTTTACAGTATCACAAAAGAATGTCATAAGTCTTTTGGAAATTATTGCAAAAATGTATAAATGTAGAAGGCGACTAGTTTGAAGGAATAGTTTATTCAGTTTTAAAATTATTATGTAATTTTTCAAAATAAAGCCAGGCGGCAAGAACTTTTTGAACAACCCACGTATATTTCTCCCTGTATTTTCAATGGTGTCGCAAGAGTTTCAAAATAATTGTGCAAACGTGACAGCTGCCGCAGTCGTACAATTTATCAATTAGGATAGTTTTGGCAGTAGTACACGATGATAATAATTATAACAGAAAGAAGTGGCAGTCGAATAGATATATAAGAAATGCAACTTCTGATAGAATTTATCGTGTTCCTTTAATGCGCAATTAATATTCCTTTCTAATAAACGAGTAGTTTTTTATACTCTGAAATACATTATTATGATTTATTTCCTGGTAAATTATTCAATATAGTTTTGAATATCTTTATGGCATGATGATAGTATTCGCTTAAGTGAAAATGCATTTTAGATAGATACAAGTATACCCCAACCCATAGGCTTCCCATCAGCTTCGACATGTGGCTTAAAGCTCGTAATTAACATTTTCATATGACATCTATCCAAACAAATTAAATCTGATTGCTGTCTACTTTAAATATGTCCGCCTCTTATTTTGACTGCTGACGGTGTTTTATTAATATTAGTAACATAAACAGGGAGAAAAGGCTGTTGTTATTATGCAATCGGCAATGGAGGTATCATCATTGCCATCTTCATCTACATCATCATCACTATTATTATCTATCTTAATCTGTTCTGCTACTCCCTCAACACACCTCTTAAGTTGAAGTGCATTCTCAAAAGATTCTACTTCTTCTCGTTCAGCAACTTTTAATGGGATGTTCAATTCAAGTATATTATAAGCTTTGTAGAATGCATCATTAAAAGTGTCAATTACTGAAACCTTTATCTGCTCATTAATGCCCAAGAGCTAATACTAAGCCGCTTGCTTACGGGATTATCAATGGCATCCTTGCCAAAACGGAGCCAATCGTCAAAATGCTTTGGCCTTTTTGCATCTAGGCGTGAGAACTCTCTGAACACCAGTTCCACACACGAACATACCTGTAGGAGGGCTATTCCCAAAATTGTGGAACCCAGCTGTGATTTCCAATGTTGGGATATATTAAAGTCCTTAAGGAGATTCTTTTATCATCTCCATCTTGAAGATCGCTCCTGTACTAATAAGCCGAAAACCCGTGTAACGCACACACACACATATATTTGGCTTAGTGCGAAGTTTGATAAATCCGAAAATGCAAGCGAATAAATTCCCCGCTTATCGAGTTTGCCTTGTACTTGCATCTCCCATTATTTCGTTGAACGGAACCAGTCTTCAAATGAGTACAAATTTCAAGTTTGTTTAAACGGCAGGCAACATAATTTAAATTCTTTTGTCATATTCTCTCCCCTGATGATCCGATCCAATGGTTGTACATAGATTTGCATATCGGTTCACAGATGCAATTTGGCAAAACACATCTTTTTTGACCTCTAGAAAACGATGGTGCTCCCGTATCCGATATATTTATAAAAAGTCTGTATATTGAAACATATGTCAAAGTAATCAGTACTACAATACAACTTTAAGAAAGCATTACTGGGCAACGGTCACGTCTTACAATCTTGAAACAGAAGCCCAATGACCAAAGAGCAAGCCAGTAATATTAATCCCGCTTGTAGATATAAAATTGGTGGACACCAAAAAAATATTAAAAGACAAAAGTTGGCACACCATTTAAAAACCCATCGTCTTTATGTAATATCAATATGACAATCAAGAAATGATACAATACTCAAAGAGCATGGAGGTGGTATCGCGTGTCAGCAATTGCCTCAAAGTCGTTCTATTCGAACTGTTTCGCATATAGACTTGCAAGATAAATGACATGGAACACAACTGTATATAATTTACGCTATTTTGCATAAGGGCCGCCAAACCAAATTTAGCAAGACAATTAATATAGAGTTGAATTCTATGTATTTGCTATTACTACCTTTCTTGTGCCTCTTGGTCCCGTTGAATGTCAAGGCAATCAGATTTTGATGTGCTGTTTTTAGATAATATTTAAATAACTACGACTAGCTTAGGCTTGGTGGTCTAGTGGTATGATTCGTTGTTAGGGTCAACGAGGTCCCGGGTTCAATTCCCGGCCAAGCCCACTTTTTTCCGAATCGGGTCTGTCAGGTAGTCCGGATTTATTTTTTTAAATTCGGAATACCCATACAAAAGCAAGATGTTCTTTTTAATCAATTCGCTCACTCACGCCACTTGTAACGAATAGTATGTAATGAGTATTTCACTCTTAAATAGACCCGAGCATCATTCAGACAACAATATCTTTGCTTACGCAACAATGAAGATATACTTTAATTAGTACGATGAAATCACGCGCGCGCAAGTCCACTGGAAAATTAAATTCAATAATTCGCTATAATTATAATTATTTTCAAACTGTGCAAATATAACTCGTTACCACTTTTGTTCTGTCATATTATTTATAAAAAAAAATATGCATTCCTAGCACGGATATCACAAGATTTGTATCACTTGGAAGTTTAAAAAAAAAAAAATAGCTAACCGAGTTGGTACACCTCTTATTTGTTGTATTAATGAAAAGGAAATATTACATTGTGTTTGTAATTAAACATTTTAATAACAGTTAAATAATCATATTTACGTGATATCTATTACAGATAGGATTACCTCTCCGAATAGATAAAAAATAGGGAGGTTCGCCTGCTGCCTCTAGAAAGAAAAAAAGTAAACCTAATAAATTTCGAACGGGAGGGGGGGTATTCCTATCGCGTGCTAGATACTTGCTAGCATATCGATAGTATTTTGATGAATCCAATTTTACAACTTTCAAAGTAATGCGCCCGCCAAGAAAGTGATTTCGCATCAATGTATCACGATGCCATTGACATCGAAAGCTGTTTTCATAGCAACAGATTACATAATACAATACATAATATACATACTTGGCAATAAAAAAAAAATGCCAAGGGCTGTTGCTACTTTCACTTCTCAGATACCTGCGTAACTTTATACAAGCCGAGCGGAACGTCATCATCCTCATCATCAGAAGTCTTTACTGTAGATCCCTGACCATTCACCAAACCAACTTGTGGGTGTCCTCCCGGATGCGGCGATGGCGCTCGCTTCTTTGGTGGAGCAAGTCCATTAAGTGAAGACCCGTGCCCGTTCGTAGCTGCATTCAGGCCATTTTGATCCGTGTATCCATCATCAGCGAGATATTCACCATCTGTCCCGTCCGACATATAGTCATCAGCATAGTGGTGATATCCGTAAGATTCCAATTCCACGTCGCTATTTGTAGAACAGTCTGATTCTGAATCACTGTCACTAAACGAATATGGCGACGTACTCTGTGCAGGAGACGCCGGCGGAGTCAAATATTGCTGAGCAATCTGTACTTGTTGGACGTCATACTGAGGAGCCTTGTATGCGACCTCGGTACCAGAATTGCGCTTGCGTCCTTTACCCGCTCCCTTTTTCTTTCCTTTTTTTCTTTTCCTACCACCATTCGATTTCCCAACTTTACTCTTCACCTTCATCGCTTCCTTCCGTGCTTTAGGATTGCCTTCGCCACCATATTCAGTCTGCTGTTTATTGATAAGCGAAAGATACCAAAACATCATGTTCGATATCAGTACTTGTTCCTGCAATGGACGGCGAGGGTTGGCAAGCTTTATGTGAGACAAGCGATAAATAGCACGTTCTACATGCAGAGGGAAGCGACAATAGTTGGAATATTTCGTCTTTTTGGGGGTTGTCGGAGATGGCAATTCTGTGGGAGGTGACGCTATTAAAGTGTTGTTTTCTTCGGAAGATGTTTTAGATTTATTCTGCAATGACCATGAGAATAGTGCGAACAGTGTGGATATTGTGGAAGGTTTTGACTTTTCTTTTACCACAATTTCTCCGCTTGTACTCTCCGGTGGTTTATCAACAATATTTTCCTTATCTGCTTTTACATCCTTTTCTGCGGTCACGTCTTTATCTGCTTTCAACTCTTTATCAGGTTTCGACTCTTTATCAGATTTAGACTCTTTATCAGATTTAGACGTACTCTTTGAAAACGGATACCACTTCTTTGCGACGTTTGCTGATGATGTTGTTGGCGCGCCAGTTTTATTTGACTGTGATTTTACTTCTTCGGGTGATGATTCTTGGACGGTTTCTAGCTTTTCAGCCAATTTTGATGTATCTTGTGGTAGCGAACTGCTTCTTTTGGGTCTATTCTCAGTTTTGACTACAGGGTCAGCCGGTGTGATTATAATTGGTACTGGATTGTCTGTTAAAGTGATGCGAACAACCCCAGTGTCGGCTGCGGCAGCACCTTCTGTAGCAGCATCTGCTAAAGCCGTGTCATCTGATGTGACTATAATAGTTGGTGATGTACCCGTGATGTTCGATTCGTTATCCGGAGTGGCTTGAGTAGATTTTGTTCTTCGATGGGGAGGAGCATGACGGCATGGTTGTTCTCCCGCTATCGAGTTACGACGAAGTTTGGTGCGAGCCGTTCGTTTGAGTGCCGGAGCTACTCTGGGCACGAGAACGGGTGAATCGTCCTCTGGTGATGAGTGCCGATCGAATTGACTGTTATTTATCGTCGAAGCTAGAGTGTGAATTTAGAGTAAGTAATACAATTGTCATAGATACAAGTCAAAGGCTTTTCAATCATCTTTACCCATGAACGGCGGCAAATCCAAGCTCAGACTTCTTCGAAGAATAGTGAGTTTTGTTGATTCCACGTTAGGACTAAGTGTATCCTCTGATGCTCCAAAAGCTTCCCAATCGAATGCGGGTGTCTTTTTCTCGGGCAGTTTCTCTTCCGGTTCGTCATCATCACCATCATCATCACCATCATCATTACCACCACCTCCTTCTGTCTCTGATGGTATGTATTGTTTAGATAGTTTTGTTTTACGGCGTTTTATAGTGCCAACTCCACTTTCAGCTGCATTTGCGTGAGTTTGTAACCATTTTCTGAATTCATTGGGAGCTATTTCCGGATGTAAATGAGCAGGCACCCAGAATAAATGAGATGAATTGTTTGGCTCAACGTACAACTCGTCTGTGACATCTGCTACGTCTTCCGGGTTACATTCCTCGTCGTTGTCAGTCCCTATCATAGATTTTTGTTTTAATGTGGTCTCAAGCACACCCATTATCTCTGTTCGCGTCGGCGCGTTTACCTGTAGAGTATCATCAGTAACGTCGATATCGTTGCTGTCAGTTGAAGAGTCGGCAGTTTCATTAGTTTGTATTGATAATGCTGAATCAGTAGATGTTCTCTTTGTATCATCAGTTGGTACAGTTGAATCTGTTTCTGAATTTTTAGTAGAGGCTTTTGGAGAGGTATTGGAAGTGATAAACTCACGATCTGCAGCGTCGATGCTTGTTAAGAGGGAAGAGGCGGCGGGGAGTAAGCTAGAGTCAGATCCGAATACTGCGTCCAGATATCTCTTTGTAGATTCTACCAAGTCATCCGAGGTGTCCGTCACCATTCTGCAGTAATAATGGCAACCGGCTTGTTCAAATTGAGCATATAATTATGAGAGAGTGAGGAAAAGCGCTCGACGTAGTGACTGCGATATTGACAACTGTGCACGACTGTGCAGCAGACAAGTTTAATGGCAAGTGTAACAGATGTAAAGAAGAGTGATGAGTTGCAGGCTATTTTTAAAGAGTGACAGACTCGCTGCCCCTTGAACAATGAAAGGGATGCGAATTATTAGTCACGAGGGCGGTAATACGGAATGAGAATGGTGTGCAACGTAATTCTCTTTTATCTTCGGAATGCGGAGTCAGGTCCAGGACTTTAGCGTCAGAGTGCATTTAGCATTTAGATGGATGTCGATATTAAATAATAACGAGTTAAACATATTGGATTTGTGGTCATCATTATCAAACATGTCACACCTGTGGATTTCCATATGGTGATGTCAATGCCCCCCAATTTCAAGATAAGAGAGGTCACACTTTCTCTCTTTTATTCCCAATTACAGTCATACTTTACCCAGCAAAAAAACTGGTTCGGTGGTGGAACAGATACAGTCGCTATCAATGACAGTGATTGGGGAAACATGCTTTTTGTTCAGTGTATCGTATAGTATGCCGTCAACATTCTTTGTAAGGGAAAAAAGCCTTGTCCTGAGATTACATGTTTCAAATTGAATTAATTCGCTGTTAGTCATTAATGGTAATTTATAGTGCTGTTAATACGTTGCGAGCGAATTTTCTGGATGGCAACACGAATTCGTATAATACTTTAATAGTGACATTGTTATGTTACTCTTGCTTTGTAATGTTCAGCCATACTATGGGAATTCCTTTTACGATATAGATAAAAATAAGATGATAATGTAATAATGGAATGTTGGTTTATTATTATGAGAAAACGGGTTGACCCTCCATGGGAACTGGTTTTTTATTACTATGCACCCTCTTTTCCGCAATTTTATCGGACCGCTCACACGGGAATATTAGTGACCGTGCCCTTTGATCGCCCAATGATAATGCGATTCGACAACTTTTTAAACTCTTAAAGTATCCGATTATAATCCGTCATCACCAGTTTATTAAGGCTAGCGCGATTAACAATGCCGTCTCCTAATATGTCTACCGTTAACGGCATGCATATGCTTTTCAATACCAGAGTTTAAAAGACAAAGCACTTGTATACCTCTATAGGGAAAAATATGAATGAAAGAAGAGCGATATTGATGGACTTTGCATATTGATTTTGCATTTTTTTCATGTTTGCGATCTTGTACACACATGTGGAAGGAATGGTATTGCACGCTTTTGCCTCGTTTTTTCAATCGCTTTCCAAAGATACAAGCTGAACTTGGCCGAAAATAAGAACCGAGTCGGAAGTTTTCTGGTCGATCATCTCATCAGGTCATATCCCCATATTCCAAATCTAGCAGTTTTCTAGTGAGGAGAGTTAACTTTTGGTTAGCGGCGAATAAAAGAAGGTTTTACATACTCGGGTGATTGTTTGGCAAATGTCTTGGTGCGTATGACTGATTGAGAGCGCTGACATGTAAGCCTTTTTTGCAGTTCCTGACAAGGAGTCAAACAGATAGGGGAAAAGAACCAATCCTGCACATGAAAAGAACAAGCGTAAACTAAATACAATGTCTCGATGTATTTATTGGTCAATCCCTATTGATGATAACAATAATGGTGACATGACAGCGATTATTTAAACTAAAAGTTTGTTAACGTTAACGTTAACGTTAATATTAATATTATTAATATTAAGGGAAAGTTTTTTAACTGTTTCGAAATCATGTGATACTGAATAATTAGGCAATAATCTTCTTTGCCCGAACTTTCGCAACAATTTCCCAATTCAGCGTTATTGAAGCGTTTGCTACTTAATAAAGTGCCTATTACACGCCATACTGATAAAGCATGTCACTGTCGCATAAACTTATAACGGTTTACTTTATTGTTTGATTCAATGCTGTGCGATACATAAATTGACCGCGCGTTTAATTTGTTTGATAGTCAAATAGCATCAATTTGGTATTGAATAAAGACAACAGCAAGCAAGTAATGTACTAATTGGTCTATGGTTACATCAGACTACTTTATTGCTAGATTCTAAGACATTTATCTAACTTACGCTGGAGCTTTGAATGTCTAAAAAAGTACTGCGAGTCAAATCAAGTTTGACTGTCATAAGTAATAAAATAATTTAAAGCGTTTGATATTTTTGAGACTTTTAGTTGTCTCGAAGATCATACAAGTGATTATCAGAGATGTTCAATCTTTGAATGACGATGATTTCAATAATTTTCAAACTCACCTTTCATGAAAGTCCGGTTACAAAATGCAAATTATATCATCACTAGTGCTTAATAAACTAAATTTGAAAATAGACTAGTCGAGCATGATTTAACACAATATAGACAATACAAATACACATGTTTTGCTTTGAGCATTATATAGTTTACTAGGGTGCGTAAGCCCAAGTTTTTATTAGCTTTAACCATATATCAGCAGTCATTGCGTATGGTTTCTAAAATAACTGTCAAAGACTCTTCATAGTGAAAATTCTCAAGAACTTAAATAATAATTACCATGTATCTACAATTTATAATAATAATAAACTTTTTACAATTAACATTATCAGTTGTCTTTATTAACATTATATTATTATATAATCCATTATGTTCAACTAATCAACGGGCTCCGGCATTTCAATTTTGACCAAACCTTTTAATGGAATTCGAGTTAAACTTGACAGATAACAAATTTTGACCCGATTTATTTGTAAGGACTGTGTGACCAAGTGCATTGTCTTTGTTGGACCGAATAACATTTCGTAATAAGTAAACGTCATATTTTCTTTCAGCATTTGTAGTTTAAGTCAGTGCGTAGACCAGCTGAAAGACAAGGCGATCCTAGCCGGGCCTTATATTCTATTAATTCAATTTCTTAATAAAATGCACTCTAATTATTGCTTTGTTTATAGCTGTGCGTTTGTGGTCTAATTAAAACAACATTTGGCAAGCTTTTTTTAAGCTTTATTTAATACACTCGATGGACAAAAGTTTAAATCCAAAACTTTTATGACGTTTATTTCAGAATTTCATAAACAAAATTTAATAAAATTTATATCGTTAAAGCTCTACTTTTCTCCTGTATTTTTATTATATTTGTGTTCCGTTAAAATTTAAAACTAAAATTGCATAGCACCAACAATTTATTTAGTAATGTTTGATGTTTTCACATGTAGTTGCTTAGCACATTCCCGTATATTAATTCAATACGAAATGTCTGTCCAACAAACAAAGCGCCTTTCTCAAAATCAGTCGAATTGGCCTCCAACCTTAAATGCAGCTCGATTTTTGACTTATTTAATTCGGAATCTGAAACCTCATTCGAAAACTTTTCATAAATTAATACCTGGTTGATCAACCATTATTAGCAATACATTCTTCGAGGCATACTGTCGATCAAATTCAAACACGTTTTAAGTGGAATTTGTTGTCGTTTTTGCTTTAAAAAGTCTCCAATTCTCGTAGACTTTTCGGTCGCTGAGGGCGATTTCTGAATTTCCACAAGATTTAACAGTTTCAATGGGAAGATTGAGCAGTTTGTTAAATTATGATCACCCATTAGAAGTCTAATAATTCGTGAGTGCTTTGCCCCCGTTAGTTCACAATTTAAAAAAGAAAACACAAATCGACATTGTTTTGATTCTCCAATATGCATCACAGCAACAACCCAAAAAGGAAAGTATTATTTTATTAAGAACCAGAGCTTTTAAATGATAGTAAAATTTTGAGAAAATTTTTGGATTCAAGCGAGCATAAGTTTCAGCTCACTAAATAAATGGTTAATGTTGCGCAATTTTTAGTCTTTTGTCCATTTTAATTTTAACGGAGTGCAATTATATAGTCAACCTCGTTAATCCGAATTCTCGTTAATCCGAAGAAATATTCTGGTCCCGATTTATTAATAAGAAATTTACCCCGTTTATCCGAATTTTTATAATAAATCTCTGTAATCCGCAATCCGAAGGCAGTTGTGAAAAACTTGTCATATAAAAA